AAATATCAACCGCTATTTCAGATGAGCACTCAGCACTACGCTTGATACAACAGTGCGAGCAGACAGTGTGAATTTAATACTCCGTATGACCAACGTGAATGCGCGCAAACCATACCACAATGTGGGCATGGTTCGAAGTGAGACGACGGTTCGTTGATGGACGGAAGTCACGGATGAGAAATTCGGAAGGCGTTGCAGACACCAGTGTAATACCACTCATACCTCGTTTGTCAAAACAAGTAGTGATGCTTGGTAAGCCTGCATGACGACTACAACCACTCTACAATGGCAGCAGTTGGCCTCTCTGATTCCCATCTGTGTTCACGGATGAATGGCCATCACAGCTCGCAGTGGCTCTCAGTGACACTCACAATATGACGCACGGACATTCCTCGGTTACGCTCGGCCAAGCACGGTTCATAGTTGCACATCAGGGTCACCTCCTGACATTGAACTCGCAAGTACCGAACGAAATGAATGCTGCACAACACGTAAGGACGTCCCGTGCATATTCGTTTGGCACACACGTTTTGTCGGCAAGCCGATCACAAAAGCTGCAATTCACAGTAAAATTAAGTAGCATACACACTCTGTGATACCTAAAAGCGATGACTTAAATTAAAACCCGAGTTTGGTTGTATTACCACCTGTACAAACTAATTTAGAACCAAACTTTGTTTTTATTTTACCACATACGGCCTACTGAGCTATGTCGCCTTTTCAGAAGTGACCTGGCCACAAATGATATCTCAACGCAGCGAAATACTCCAAACGCTTGTTTCTGAACATGGAGGGAAAACCCGGAGAACCCGGAGAAAATTTCACGAGATCCAGTAGAATCACGCAAACTCAAAATATACAGCAGGTATTGCTAGGGTTAGGATCGGACCACAAAACCTCCTGCATACCAGAGGGAGATATAACATCTATCCACCACGGCAGAGCCCACTATCCCGAGCTCAATTGTTTCTTCACAGCCTAAGGATGTTAACGCTCGCCGATTGTGAGCCCTGCTGTTATTATCGCAAATTAAATACTTGCCGAGGGAAATTGAACACCGGAGTGTTTGCTTGATCCATGCGTGTACACGATTTGGTCTTGTTGTGTTCCCAGGTGGCGTACAGCATAGACAATACCATTTGGGATAGTTACATTGATAGCACGGATGATAACTATATACTACAAGGGGACACTAATGCTGAAAGTATCAACTTTTTAACATTCTTGCCAAATACACATCTTTCATCCATAATCTATCAAATATCCTGAGTTGTTTTGTTAAATGTTGGTTAATGAGAAGACTGAATGTTGAAAGATTGAAGCGTGATTATTTAACTGTCACAAATTGTGACCATTCAAAGCCCCAACATCCACCCAGGTTAATCCTGCTGGTGTATTAATCATGAACACACACACCATAGGCTTAAAAGGCAAGACGTGAAAATATCCCCATAATGTCACTCACACAGAGTGGGTGTTGCCAAATAAATGCATTGGGCGGGAGCGGGGAGACAGGAGCTGGGAGAGGTGGCGAAGCAGACACCCAAACGTCAGAGGCCAAGCTCGGGTGACTAGACCAGTGATGGGCAACCCAGACGAGTTGGTAGGCCCAGTGGCGTAGTAACTACATTATTAGTGGCGTAGTAGCTACATTTTCAGTGGCATAATGACTACATGATTAGTGGCATAGTAGCTGCATTAATAGTGGCATAGTGACTACATTAGTGGCGTAGTAGCTGCCTTATCAGTGGCGTAGTAACCACATTATCAGTGGCATGGTGACTACATTATCAGTGGCGTAGTAGCCACATTATCAATGGCGTAGTAAATGCATTATCAGTGGCATGGTGACTACATTATTAGTGACGTAGTAGCCATATTATCAGTGGCGTAGGAGCTCCATCATCAGTGGTATAGTCACTACATTAGTGGCGTAGCAGCTACATTATCAGTAGCGTAGGAGCTACATCATCAGTGGCATAGTGACCACATTAGTGGTGTAGTAGCTGCATTATCAGTGGCATAGTAACTACATTATCAGTGGCGTTGTAGCTACATTACACTATGTAACACGATTTTTGTTCCTGGGTAGTGTTGTTTTCTAATTGCGTATGCCTAAAAAGTATAGAAAATGGTTATTATTCCCCACAAACTTTGCTTTTGCTACAACGCTGTGGACTCTCATGAAATTGTCTTTTCCGAGACCAAGGTGCTCTGCAAACCTTCTGGCTACCATCAAAGGTTTGTACACGAAGCCATTCAGATATACAAACACAGACATAATTTCAACCGTGATGATGGGTACAAACTTAGTAATCATTGGAAAGATGTTATCAACCATGCAAAAAAAAGACTTAATTACACATTTTTGGACCATCTTATCTGACAGGCACTATTTTACTTTACTTTACCGAGTGTTAACATCCCCAGTGTTTAACAGTAATCTCTTTATTGTTTCGCCAGCACTGGTATAAACATGGGCATTTTCGTTCTTTTCTATCATGTGTATCAACAGGTGCTTGTGCATACACATGTCCACGTACACTTGCACCCCACACTCTCTTTTGGCCTGCCCTCCCCCTCTCCGTCCAATACGTTGGCGTGTGCAACAATAGTTGCTTGCGCACAACCACGTCCACGTCGCCGACTCTCGTGTACCACTTCGTGCATTCTTTTGACCCCTCCCCCTCCCGATACGTTCTACGTAGCACTTCGTGCCTTCTTTTAGCCCCGCCCCCCTCCCTCCCGATACATTCCATTCATTGGCTACCACATTCTGATGAGCTCCCCCCCCTCTCCTCCCCCCTCAACTTGCATTTAAGGGATTACATCTTGAATCCTTGCCTCACTTGATGCAGCAAATCTGGCTGTGACGGTCCCACCTGATGACGGAGACTTGTGTTGCCTCCGAAACGTCGTGATTTTTATTGTTTTATTTTTATTAATTTCATTTTTTACCTACGTGACTTTACCGAAAGAACTAAGAGTATGAATCCTTGCAGTCACGAAAGCTTCAAATCTAGAATTAAGAGGTAGGGGGTTGTTTTGCAGTCACCTGCACACCCACAATGCACCTCCAACAATATGAAGACCAAGACGACACAGACTGCGTACCATTTTAATTTCTTACCTCGGTTTTGGCTGGGCATAGACAAATATTCTTGGGTGACTCGCCCTGGTGTGCACAGCGTGGTGGCACTGGAAACCAGAAGGTGAGCATTCTCGAGGAACTCTTCGCCTTCTTATTCGTCCACACATAGCCACTTTCCAGCGTGCCCTCCTCCAGACTGTCCCGTTCATGCCCTGTGCCTCCCCCTTCCTAGTTAACGTGCACCCTTGGTCCGAGCACCCTGAATCGCTACCGATAGGGGAGGGGGCGTACGAGATTTGCTAGTGACAATCACGGGACCTCGACTCTCCCCTTCCACCCTTTCCCCGCCTCCCTCAACCGCCTTCTAACTTTCAATCAACTTTTGAATTGCTACCAGGTGAGAAGCGGTCATTTCCATGGGCTTGGGTGCAGCCATTTGCATTCTTCTGCTGGGGAACGCCACTTATTCGATCAACATTCAATTTCGGACATTAGGAAAACACATTCAGGCCTCCAACTTGGAGTAACTTGGCCTAAAAACCTTTGTCCGAGGTGTGGGGGATGGCGTTCCTAACATTAACAGAGAGTGAGAGAGGCCTTCAGAATGTCGAGTGAATCCCCTCTGCTATTGAAGAAAATGCGGACGATCTTGTTGATTGTCATATTCTTGAACCAATCATATTTCGAGTTTGCCATGTTGGGCGTATTCTTCGACACGCCAGAGCCATCGCACTGGCCTAGACGCCTACGGTAGCATTTTTCATGTGGTGTGATCAGAGGGCCAGTTAGCTAACTGAAGTAAAACTAGCTAGCATGTAAGGTAGCATCATCTAAGATTGATTATTAAAAATCTAAAAGTCATTTAAACGTTTAGATTTTTAGATGTGATTTCGATGTTTTTTTGTGGGGAAGCCTGTTGAATCCTGATTGTGTCATTTGTGTTTTACAGAAATGTTGCTTGCTTGGTGGTCGTATGAGTAAATGTGACTGGTTGTTGTATGTCCTTGTTTCTTTGGTAATGACATTGATTTTGGGCTATGCGATGTCTATTTGTGATGCAGCATCCTGTCATACTGCATAATAGTGGTACATCTTTGATGGTTTCAGTCACCATGTATTTATGTCTCTGCAATTAGTGTATTGTAACTCTCATAGATGTTGAGCCTCGTGTTAAATCACTTTATTCCACTCGATAAATGTTACTGTCACTGCGAATATGGGGTGGTTACGTCGAATGACGATCGCCTATAGCCCTAGTGTCATGGAGAGGTTGTTCGAAGGTGGTTTAATTGCAGGAGGATAGCACTGAAGGCCTAGGTGTAAAATACACGGCCCGCTACTGCTCAAGTGGCTGAAATGAAGTGCAGCACTCGAGTGTGGCTAAGGCCTTGTAGTCTTATTATCAGTCAAAATTGAGCAGTAGCGCTCTAGAAATGTTCACTCACAGCTGGCAAGTTCAAGAGTTTTTTCCCAGGTAGGTCTCCAAGGTGCTCCTGGCCGCTCTGGGACTCTCATTCACTGCGCTCCCCATTATGGCCTGGGAACAACTCATCCCCATTTCGGTGAAGCTCCGTCCTCTCTTCCCCTCCTGCCTTCTCTCACCGTTTCAAACATAAAGCATATGTTATTATCAGAGCATGTCTTATGTTTTGCCACAAGTATGTGTGGTTAATGCACGACTTGATGCCTTGCAACAGGTGTCTATTTGGTGTTTGAACATTTTAACACCTGTTAAAATGCCAGAAAGGGTAAAGCCTATTATAGTCTTCATCATATACCTCAACCCACCACGTTTATATTGTACCGTGTGTATATGTGCACGTGTGTGATGTATTGGTGTGTTTTGTATGAGCAAGTGCTTTTTTCACTAAATGGACTATATTAAAAAAACACAAGTTTCTTACAATAGTTTTGCGGTAGGTTATACACTTTATTTGAAGTTGGTTCAAGAATAACGAGCACTGTTTATTCCATGGAGGTAGTCGTAAAATAATAACAGATGACTGCTTTGAAACATTCGAGCAATGAGTTGCACCATGTGGAAACTCGCGCGTCAAATGACATCGCCTGATGAGAAAACCCGTCTGCTTACAAAAAAATCCTTTGCCCATTGTGGGGGGGGGGGGGGGGGATTACTGTCTTGAATAGAACGGCAATCTGCAAGCTCGTATATGGGACTATTGGAGTTTGGTTCAAAGTTCTGTTTATCTTTCCTATACTTTCCACTCCTATCGTGTTTTTGCATTGCTTGTTATAACGTTCTTACCCGCCCCCTATTGGACGTCTGTGAAAAAGAGCCTTATACCTTATCGGTTTCCTCCTGTCGTATAGAGTTTCCGATTATGTAATACGACAATCACTCCTTTCCTCTCATGTTACCCTACATCAACCCAAGCATTAAACAGGAAGTATTGCAAATGTAAAATATTATTAACATTGTCGAGTGTTTAAATATTATTTTAACGATAATTGTTTTTATTTAAAAAAATGTGTAGAGGTTTCCTGTATTTCTAAGATTAAATCAAACTACGTCTCATGTACTATTTATAACGGACTCGTAGAGTGAATTTTCTGATTAACAACAATTTGCTCGTAGCTGGAACTCACAAAAAGGAAATTGATGCGGATGTCAATAAAGTTTGAGGACATGAAAGCAGATGATCCTGATTATAGCCAAATACCCGTCATAAAGAAGTATAAATTTCAGACATTAAGTCACAATTTTAATGGGACAAATTCATGCCTATAAAATTAAGGTGTTTCATTTACTTCCCTTTACTATAACATTTTATAGAACTAAACCTACAGGTTAATTTTGAACCAGCTGTATTATATCGATACATATTAATTGCATGGTAAATACAAGTAAAGTACATGGTGATCCTTAAACTAAACTATTTTATTTTGCCAGACAAGGCCCACTGAGCGAAATATATATTTTTAAGAAGCGATCTGGTTATCACAAATGATAGCTCAACGTAATGGCTTATCACGTGGACATTTGTAGCAGGCAAATGCTCTAAATGTGTGATGTCGATTCTAAATGTGGAGGGCAAAATCGGAGGACTCGGAAAAAAATTCACGTAACCACGGAAAAAACACGCAAGGGTCGGGATCGATCTCACGACCACCTGCATACCCGGTAAGGTATTTAACATCTCCCCACCGTGGCGCGCCATTGATGTTACAAGAGTACCATTACACATCCAATGGATAATATGTATGAGTTTTAACGCGAAATTTGCAGAAGATTTGGGTTTAGCATTTCTCGTGATTGTGAAAAATGATCGATTACTTGCAAGTTTAATTATTACTGATCCTCCCATCCTGCGTGTCCATGACTCGGTCGTCACCATGTGGCGACAAATGAGTCTGACATGAAACCGATAATCTTAACAAAGAATAATAACAGATTAACGCACTCTATAGATTCACCCCCGTATAGACTATGTAGGTAAGTAATACATATATTTCATCGCCCGATGTGTTATATTTGGCATTATCCATGGATTTGTTTTGTCCAGGCCACCTGTCCTCTACCTTTACCCAGATTCAAGACCCGAGGCAGACGATCCATGGCTTTGATCTTCCACGAATAATATGGGCACAAACCCAAATCGAATCCACCCAAACAATGGCAGAAGTGGTTACTTAAAGCACAATTGAAAATAAATATCTCCGGTAGTGTGTGCCTGGGATCACCCAGAGTAGGCCACAGAAGGAATGACTCTTTAATGCCCAATTCACAAATGCGAATGGGGGAGCATCATCAGAGCAGTACAATCCACTACATCTGACACAATTATCTGGCTCAACCACCTCAACGTAAAATTAGAGTTGTTACTCTTCACCTACATCAGCCATTCGAAGAAGACACTTATAGATTTCCACTGAGACCATTAAACTTGCATCGGTACCCTTAGACCAGTACAGATACTCCATACACTTACAGATCTATAGGCGCAGCTGCTAAACGGCAGAGCAGTGTTTGCAAGAGCAATTTTTGTTCTCGAAGTGCAATGCCTGCCCGCTGGGGAGCATTATGACAATATCACACCTAATAAATGTGTACCTGGTACGAATGAATTAACCTTGAGAACGAGTAAAAAATTACCTTGACATGAACCCAGCACAGGAAAGGTCTTATTCATGTCTTTAAACTATGTAGAGGATCTGTTTCTTTTTTTATATCGAACAGAAGGAGGTGGTGAGTGACTTGAATGGCTATTTCACATTGACGTATACATTGTCGGGGGCGATATAGGTGGGATCGGAATTTCCCACGGTCTTGGCATCATCTTTTCCCGTCTTCGACTCTGCACATGAGTGGTGGTCCTCTTGGTGTTCACTTAAATAAAATGAAAATAAAACGTTTGAGCACGATGAACCAATCCACATGTAACGTAATAATAACCTCTTGTTATGTGCCACTCACGAGTATAGATACAATCTAAGCGAAATAGAAAGCTGATAATAATATCAATGACTGCTCCCGAAATTCCAATAAAATTAAGAACTATGATAATAGCGAATAATAATAACGTGCATTAAAAATCGAAACCATCAGAAATTTTATTTTTAATGAAAGTTATTTTAACAATTTTCTGTGATTTTGTCCGAGGCAGTGACCTGATGTAAATGAATTTGTTGTCTTGAGAAAGGCAACAGAGATGATGAAATCCGATACAAATATAGTCGAACCAACGCTTCTAACTGCTATTCAGAAAAATTGTATGGGAATTTTAAACCGTGGCCGAGATTCTGCTGGTAAATCATAATGCAGGATATGCTTAAATATAACGTTAGACTATCAAATATGAAGCAAAACGCTCAATTGTAGATGCGTTTGTTGAGCCAGCAAAACTTAACCCACTTTTCATCTAGAAAACTGGAGAGCAGCGCGGACTGTTACGAACTTAACATTACAAACAATAGCACATTTAATAATTACATTTAAAAGACAACATATATACTACCAAAAAGTAAGAATTAAAATTACTTTGTAAAACTGATCAGTGCTTCTCAAACTCATGCTCTTTTGGGCCCCTAAACATTAGGGCATGTAAACATACTTTTTCACTTTGTTTAAATAGTTTTACGTCTTTGCGTTTTGAAAGTGATTTAACTTCAATAAGGATTTGAAGCTTTCGTGACTGCAGGAATCCATACTCTTTGGTTCTTTCGAAAAAGTCACGTAGGTATAAAATAAAATTAATCACGACGTTTTGGGCGCAATCAGATGGGAAAGCATAGTCTGCTGCTGAGACAGACTGTTTTGAAAAGCATGGTCTGTTACCGAAAAAACCAAAGAGTATTAAATTCAATAGTGACGTATTTTTCACGTGTTTTTTGTGCATTTTGGAAGAGTGAGATATAAAAGGCCTGCAACCAAATCGAGTTGAATTCGATTTAGATGTTTCAATCGACTAAGCCTGAATCAGAATGTGATACGATTAACATCAGGTCACATTTTGATTGTAGCGTCAAGAAATTTGTATTTTTTTCTATTCATTTTGAAAACTGTAAATGATTCTTATTATACACATACCCATACAATTATGCATTGCATGAACTAGATGGTTACACCCATGATGAGCATGATTGTCACTCGTGTAAAATTTGATTAACTATACTACTCGCAAATTATGTCAATTGATGCAATTGTTGTTTGTCCACGTACCTATTGTCCAGATCTTCATAAATGCAGTCATCAGCAGACATGTATTCATTTTCGACCTTGTGACTTGCATCACAAACATCCTTTTTCATGCCACCTGGTACAGCCGGAAGCTCGCCCCATTTTCTTTCGCTTTAAGAAGAACATGGCATAAAAATGGATCGGTGATCATTTTTTGATTACCACATGCAGGCAATCTGCAAAAAGTATTGTTATCAGAAAGGTAGCTAAAACTGATGCTACCGGCCTCAAAGCACAACCGCACTAACCATTGCGCTTGTCACTCCATGCCCGTTGAGTTTAAATGTTTGAGTTTTTTTACCTTAGGAATATAATCACAGTACTTCATTATTCACTTCATAAAAACATTGCACCTTGTTCTTCTTTTGTCGAGAGGTGTCAACTAAGACAGTTTATATCAATGGAAACTCCTGGCCTCCAACTGTGACTTGCAGAATTAAAGTTTTCTAGACCATTTTAGTGTTTCCAAAATTGCTATCTAAAAAATCACATTGTTTTGGAAGCCACTGGAGCTCTGAACTTTTAAATGATCTACATTGACACGCGATTGTCTATTATAACTGCTGTTTGTGTTAGTTTGTTGTCCTACCCCCGAACCTCGTCCTCAGATCTTGTGGGGTCGGGGAATTAATGTACGAGTCCTCACACTAACTTCTTACTAATTTTCAGCCCTGACTACAACCACTCTAAGACACAACCAATGCTCAATATCTCAAGCACAGTCCTTTATTTGCATCCCACACTTCCGATGAGCACGGTTGGCTACGTACGGTGTGAAATAAGTGAAACATACACGCGGTATGTTCTCCTATAAACACGATAGTTGTGTTCATGAAGAACACCGTGTTATGGAAAAATCGCGTTATGATAAATAATATAATATAGGGGTAAAGCACAGTCCGTGATAACACTTGAGATGGGTACGCAGACTGAACAAAGACTGAGGTGCGTGGGTGGCATCTAGAAGCATCCAGCAGCATCCATATGCCTTGGGTGAGCCAGCGCCTTCACGTCTGAAGACACCACCACGTGAATAATTCCACCGCTCATGCTAGAAATAATTTTACAATGCGAACAACAATGCGAACGATATTAATAATTTCACCGTCCTCTGTAATTAATGACGGCGGGCCACTGCAAGTTGGCAAAGTGACACCAAACCATGCTGAGGATTCTTGATATTTTGTAGGAAGTGGGGTAGGTCGGTGCTTGCTGCCACTCCCGCTTCCACGGTGTCTTTCTTTCATCTTTATTTTCTTTACTCTTTGGTTCCCTTTGGTTCTTAAGTAAACAATTTTTATTCTTATTAGGTTGCATTTTTTACGTTTAATCACCAATCAGCTGCGTGGCCTTCCTGTTAGTAACGGCACATGCAGCCTATTCTTGTCACGAGCCATACAGATATCCATACATTACACTAACATCACACATGAATATGCTCACCTTCACATATGCACTGTAGTTTCAAGCATACATTAAATACACTTCAGATTATAACACATAATGCACTTTCATATCACACAATCAATATCACCTGCACTCAAGCATTAAAACACACTTTTGCACTAGAAAGCATATGCATTAACTATTGCTTACGCATTAAACACACACTAACACCTGTATCCTTACATTCAACCAGGCTTAACATATACATGAACATCTTCTTGGTTAAATTTCGATTTAAAGCTTTCGTGACTGCAGGGATTCATCTTCTTGTTTCTTTCGGTAAAGTCACGTAGAAGGGAAGTAATAAAATAATAAAAATAAAACATAATAAAACAATTCTCACGACGTTTCGGCTACAACGCAAGCAGCCGTCTTCAGGTGAAGAATGAGACACTACCAAACTAGGAGCTTATATATAAGCTGCATTGGGGGTTGAAGAGCGCCTTAACAAAAAGAATGTGCATGTGAAGAGGAATTTAGCATATTCATGGAAAATGCGTAGGCGTTGGGCGGGGGGGTGTCAAAGTCATATTATGCCCATGCATTATGCAGGATCAGCAGCAACCAAGGGGGGTGCAGGGATTAGCAGTAACAAAGGAAAGGAATGTTAATGATATGTAGCTGCAGTTACTCAACAACCACGTAGAAAACTAAAGTATAAACTACATAAAAAACTAAAGTATAAACTGCATCGCACCATCAGTATACTTACTATACTCTATAATAAGCTGAGTTACTAACAGCAAGTAATACATTACAATTCTACCTCGTAAAAATTCTATAATATGCTTCCATCTAAACCTTATTCTCTTATATCACACGAGCATATACCGTACTATATACTGCCATAGATAAACCCAACATTAAATTATATACTGTATTGCTGTAAACCAACCTATATCTTATACATTTAATATAACACTATGTATTATTCTACACACCCTAATGTGTATCGAAATGGTTTATTACGTCCTTCCAATGATTGCTGAGCCAGAATCCATCTTCTCGGTTAAAATTGTCTCTGTGTTTGTATATGTGGATCGCCTCATGAACGAATCTCTCATGATAGCCAGATGGCTTGCAGAGAACCTCTGTCTTGGAGAAGTCGATATCATGTGAGCCCACTGAGTTGTAACAGTGATCTGCCACGGCTGAGGTGTTTGTCCTACCGTGTTTCAGGTCAGCTTTATGTTCACGGATGCGGTCCGAGACATGTCGTTTGGTTTCCCCAATGTAACTGCTACCACAGAGGCAACTTAGTTTGTAGACGCCAGGGTACTGTATGTCTGGAACCACATCTTTCACAGACGGTACCAGATCACGGATTTTATGTACTGTGTTGAATCGGACCTGGATCTTGTGTTTAATCAGGATTTTGGAGATCTTTTTTGTGACTCCAGCAATGTAGGGTAAGGTGATGGTCTTGAAAGGCTCCTCAACAGGATCCTTCTTGATGGTTGGAGTGATGGCTTTGCGGATTGTATAGTCGGAGTAACCATTTGCCTTAAGAGCTTGGCGTACGTGTTTGAGTTCACTGGAAATGTGTTCATGGTCGGAGATGCATTGGGCTCTATGATATAGAGTCTTGATGAGGGAATTCTTCTGGGATGGATGGTGGTGGGAATCCGGTTTTAGATAAGCATCCGTGTGGGTGGCTTTCCTGTAGACAGAGTGGCTCATTGAACCATCAGGTCTCCTTTTGATTAGGACATCCAAAAAGGGTAGCTTGCCATCATTTTCGACTTCCATGGTGAATCTGATGGCTGGGTGTATGGAATTGATGTGGTCGAGAAATTGGTCTAGAGCAGGCCGGCCATGTGGCCAGATGACAAAAGTGTCGTCTACGTACCTCTTCCATAAGGTCGGGCGTAGAGTGGCAGTCTGGATAGCGTCCATCTCAAATTTCTCCATGAAGATGTTGGCTACAACCGGAGATAGGGGGGAGCCCATTGGGGTGCCCTCAATTTGCTTGTAGAAGGTTCCATTCCAGGTGAAGTATGTATTGGTTAAGCAGTGTTTCACCAGGGGGGGTACCCCAGCATTCAGTCCTTGATGAACCAAGTCTTCAATGATTGCGATGGTGTCAGGCACAGGTACCTTGGTGAACAAGGAAACCACATCAAAACTGACAAGCAGGTCGTCTGGGGACAGGGCAATCCCCTTGATTGTCGATACCAGGTCAGTAGAGTTTAGTACTGCAGAGGTGGTTTTTCCAGTGAAAGGCCGTAGGATTTCGGACAAAAAACGAGCCAGTTTGTAAGTGGGGGAGTTGATAGTAGAGACAATGGGACGAAGAGGTGTATCTTCTTTATGTATCTTTGGCAAGCCGTACAATCTTGGTGGTCTGGCTGCAGAAGGTTTCAACGAGAACTGTTTGGTCTGATCAATTAATGCGGTTGAAGCAAAACCAACAACATCATTTCTGCTTCAACCGCATTAATTGATCAGACCAAACAGTTCTCGTTGAAACCTTCTGCAGCCAGACCACCAAGATTGTACGGCTTGCCAAAGATACATAAAGAAGATACACCTCTTCGTCCCATTGTCTCTACTATCAACTCCCCCACTTACAAACTGGCTCGTTTTTTGTCCGAAATCCTACGGCCTTTCACTGGAAAAACCACCTCTGCAGTACTAAACTCTACTGACCTGGTATCGACAATCAAGGGGATTGCCCTGTCCCCAGACGACCTGCTTGTCAGTTTTGATGTGGTTTCCTTGTTCACCAAGGTACCTGTGCCTGACACCATCGCAATCATTGAAGACTTGGTTCATCAAGGACTGAATGCTGGGGTACCCCCCCTGGTGAAACACTGCTTAACCAATACATACTTCACCTGGAATGGAACCTTCTACAAGCAAATTGAGGGCACCCCAATGGGCTCCCCCCTATCTCCGGTTGTAGCCAACATCTTCATGGAGAAATTTGAGACGGACGCTATCCAGACTGCCACTCTACGCCCGACCTTATGGAAGAGGTACGTAGACGACACTTTTGTCATCTGGCCACATGGCCGGCCTGCTCTAGACCAATTTCTCGACCACATCAATTCCATACACCCAGCCATCAGATTCACCATGGAAGTCGAAAATGATGGCAAGCTACCCTTTTTGGATGTCCTAATCAAAAGGAGACCTGATGGTTCAATGAGCCACTCTGTCTACAGGAAAGCCACCCACACGGATGCTTATCTAAAACCGGATTCCCACCACCATCCATCCCAGAAGAATTCCCTCATCAAGACTCTATATCATAGAGCCCAATGCATCTCCGACCATGAACACATTTCCAGTGAACTCAAACACGTACGCCAAGCTCTTAAGGCAAATGGTTACTCCGACTATACAATCCGCAAAGCCATCACTCCAACCATCAAGAAGGATCCTGTTGAGGAGCCTTTCAAGACCATCACCTTACCCTACATTGCTGGAGTCACAAAAAAGATCTCCAAAATCCTGATTAAACACAAGATCCAGGTCCGATTCAACACAGTACATAAAATCCGTGATCTGGTACCGTCTGTGAAAGATGTGGTTCCAGACATACAGTACCCTGGCGTCTACAAACTAAGTTGCCTCTGTGGTAGCAGTTACATTGGGGAAACCAAACGACATGTCTCGGACCGCATCCGTGAACATAAAGCTGACCTGAAACACGGTAGGACAAACACCTCAGCCGTGGCAGATCACTGTTACAACTCAGTGGGCTCACATGATATCGACTTCTCCAAGACAGAGGTTCTCTGCAAGCCATCTGGCTATCATGAGAGATTCGTTCATGAGGCGATCCACATATACAAACACAGAGACAATTTTAACCGAGAAGATGGATTCTGGCTCAGCAATCATTGGAAGGACGTAATAAACCATTTCGATACACATTAGGGTGTGTAGAATAATACATAGTGTTATATTAAATGTATAAGATATAGGTTGGTTTACAGCAATACAGTATATAATTTAATGTTGGGTTTATCTATGGCAGTATATAGTACGGTATATGCTCGTGTGATATAAGAGAATAAGGTTTAGATGGAAGCATATTATAGAATTTTTACGAGGTAGAATTGTAATGTATTACTTGCTGTTAGTAACTCAGCTTATTATAGAGTATAGTAAGTATACTGATGGTGCGATGCAGTTTATACTTTAGTTTTTTATGTAGTTTATACTTTAGTTTTCTACGTGGTTGTTGAGTAACTGCAGCTACATATCATTAACATTCCTTTCCTTTGTTACTGCTAATCCCTGCACCCCCCTTGGTTGCTGCTGATCCTGCATAATGCATGGGCATAATATGACTTTGACACCCCCCCGCCCAACGCCTACGCATTTTCCATGAATATGCTAAATTCCTCTTCACATGCACATTCTTTTTGTTAAGGCGCTCTTCAACCCCCAATGCAGCTTATATATAAGCTCCTAGTTTGGTAGTGTCTCATTCTTCACCTGAAGACGGCTGCTTGCGTTGTAGCCGAAACGTCGTGAGAATTGTTTTATTATGTTTTATTTTTATTATTTTATTACTTCCCTTCTACGTGACTTTACCGAAAGAAACAAGAAGATCTTCTTGGTTCTTTCGGTAAAGTCACGCAGAATGGAAATAATAAAATAATACAAATAAAACATAATAAAATAATTATTATGTTTAATTTTTTATAAAAAAAAAATGTTTTTTTTTCCCACGAATGATAGCTCAACAAAGTAGCTTATCATGTGGAAATGTATAGTAGCCAAATGCTCCCAATGCATGCTTCCAAATGTTCTAGGGAAAAAACAGAGGACTCAGAGATAAATCCACTTGACCACGGGGAGAGCATACAAACTTCAAATATACAACAGGCGTCAGGGTCGGCATCGAACCCCCGACCTCCTGTATACCAGGAGAGGTAGTGAACATCTCGTCCCCATGTCCACAGAGATCCTGATATCTCGTGGAAGAGAGTCCCATAGTCTGAGGGCTCTAGGGGAAGACGCTTGGTCACTCATCATCAGAGGAGATATGCATCCCCAGAACTATGAGACATGGTGAGGGACAGCTATTTTAATGGATGAGACAAGCAGATTAGAGGAATTAATACTTGCCCAGTTTGCTGTATGGAATTGGGTTTCTTGAAACAATTCCTGTAGAAAGAGGCACATGTTGAGAACATTTAACCAATAGGCAGACTACTAGGTCGACAGACACACAGATGAATGGAATGACAGAAGCAGCGATAGGTCTAAGACCTAACGGAGTGCCCGGGTTTTTATCTGGGCAGATGCCTATGTTTTAAACTGGGCTCAACCCAGTCAACAGTGACTGCACAGAAACCCAAGTCATGAATTTGCTTCTGCACTTAATTTCGATAAATTCCAGCTCTGATAATAACTCAACAGTCAAAATCTGTCCTAAAAGAAACAAAATATACACGTAATATATTCTAGATGATATTATGGTCAATTATGTAGGTGAAGAAGGACCATTGCCCAAAACGTTATCTATTTTTCCCTTTTAGAGCAGTGTTATTTATAAATGTTTTTTTTATCTATGCCTATGAAATACTGGCAATGCAGTATCACAAACATACAATTAAAATAATTGGTTTGAATGCAATGTGATGAATATTACACTTTCCGTTGCAGGGTGACTTGAAATATGCTGCCCCCTGTTGTATGTCTAGATATATGTAGAAATTTCTTCGCACCTTACGTAGACAACCGTGCTAATCAGAGGTGCGGGGGAAGGACAACAAACTAAACACAAAGCAGTTTAAAGAAATTAGTTTGTCAGACAAGATTATTTAAAAGTGCATAGTTCCAGTGGCTTTCGAATATCGGAAGGACGTTCCAGACGGCCGCAGAAGCGCATGCAATAGCGTGCAATACAGTGATCATCTTTGTTCAATGGTTGAGCCAAAAGCCACTGCTAAGATGACTGAAGTTAAGTGACTCACTTAACTTTGAGGAATTTTGCATGTAGTTGTGCGATATCCGCTTCCCCAAGATCGTTTTCTAACACAGGGTGATGCACTACTCTGCGAGAAATTCGAATGGATAATTTCTCTCGTGACGAAACATCATAACACTATCAAAAGACACAGCATCACCAGAACTTTAGAAGTCACTTTCTTGAGGAAAGCAGAGTTGTTGTGTTTTTACAAAGAGGCTGCATGAGTTAAGAGATACTCACCAGGGTCTCGAGCAGGGGCGGTTTCTTCATTAGGGCGATTGGGCGACGCACCACCAATGTCATTGAACCACAGAGTCACGCTAGCCGTCACTGTCAGCCTCTGGATATAGTCCAATCAGCGTCATGTCACGTTCTGTGGAGTACCGCCTCTTTTTGGGCGATTTCACTCCGGCTGAGAATCGCCCCGAGTGGCCCCATAGACTTACATTCAAAGATGTTTTTTTTCGAACGGGGGCGCTCCAATGCATTATCTATGGCTTCCGGGAGGGCAAGCCCTAACGTGCTTACGTCATCATACGTGCTTACGTCATCATACGTAAGCACGTTTCATCCAACAATATAATTTATCGCTAGTGGAATCTTTAATAAAATAAACTTGAGTGGTTTGTTTTAATAGTGAGTATATAAACAAACAAGATGTATTGTAAGAGTCACTTTATTTTTCATTAATATTAAAGAAGTGAAGTTGCCTTTACATGCTTAAGCTGTTAATTTATTCATTGCATGGGTGGACCTTATCCTTATCAATCATCCAGACATTTGCCCCCCCTGAGAGATTTTGCAGGAGCCGCCACTGGTCTCGAGGATTGGCAAATAACTGCACAACCCGCGTAGTATGGACAGGCCTTTATCCAGCAGTGAATAGACGAAGGTTTGTTCATGTACACCTGTGACCAAAGTTGATATCGCGGTGAATGTGAGGTTTGGCAGCTGTGCTGTGTGTGTGTGCGCTCAGAACGTACAGCTGCTTCCGGCGTATGTAGAGTAAGACCCCTCCAACAATGATCACAAACGCTCCCAGCACACCTCCCACCACACCTCCCACCACAGCTCCCACCACAGGGCCAGTGATGCTTCCCGAGCCTGATAGGAGGGGAAAGGAGAGAAGGGCGACATCAGTGCTGTGTCAACACCAATAGGCTTTAAATATTTCTCCATAAGAGGGTTTTTTTGGGTTATATCGCGTAAATATAAATGCGTTGTTAAACGCAACACCACCCAACACAGCCAAGCACGTAAACAAATGTGCCAATTAGTTACTAGTTCAGCACTAACCGGTTATGTGTTGCAGAGTAAACCCATAACATTTACAATTCAAGCACTACATTACAACCAGCCTCATCAGGCAACAGTCATAATTGACAAACTTTACGAATTGTCTGTCGGGTTTTGGCGTGTTTAACTACACACATTTATACGTATGTGATCTAACGCTCTCGTCGGCATAGACCCGATCTCTGATCCTGACTCACCCAGCTTCTCTACCTGGTCCTGACTCACCCACCTACTCTACCTGGTCCTGACTCACCCACCTACTCTACCTGGTCCTGACTCACCCACCTACTCTACCTGGTCCTGGCTCACCCACCTACTCTCTTCTTCTCCCCCCCCTTCACTGGAACAAACTCCCCTCTCAACATTAAGCAATGATCTTCGCTCACTCGTTTCTTCTCTTCCTCCAAGGCTCACGTATTGTTCCATAGCTCACCGCACGACTCCTTAATTTTCCCCTCATAACCACCACCATTCCTGCTTCCTCTTCATATTGTCATGACAAGGCTCCCCGCTCATTCCCTCATTCATTCATAACATTCATGCATTCATCATCATTCGCCGTCATCAATTTTGCCTGAACGTAATTCACGCAGTCATCACAGATTTACTCATAGCTTCCTCTCATCTTTTGTATTCACATCATTTCCACCATTACATTCATATGCACCATTCCTAATTTTCTCCATACAGCGCTATATAAATTTAGCTCATACAAAATAAGCTTATATCTCCATCAGACACTTGCCCTGCTGGTTACCGCTCATTGTCCGGCATCCCTGCCCATTGCTCAGGTTTTTCAGTTTTTGCCAAACGCTTCAGAATAGCGGCAACAGCCTTTCTGGAACTGGAACCGTGCCGGCCTAAATAAAAAATAACAGAGCTTCGAGGAAACAATTAAATGTAAAAATGCGTATTGTAGATGGTCAATAATTTGTGCACACTTTTGCTGTGCATACTGATGATTGCAGTGCTCAATTAACCTGGTTTCCCGAGTTTGATTCCCAGTCACAATTCATTTCAGGGGTGACTGATGTCTGAACCGGTCCTTGCTTCTACCCCCCTGCACCAACGTGCACCGACCAGTGGGGTGAAATGTGGCCACGCAACTCCCACGTGTGGTGAAACGAGGTCAAGACAGCATAGGGAGCCCTTCAACCATGAGCATATCAAGCTTGATCCAATATCATTTGGTTTTCTGGAGACTTTGCAATTGTGACTCGTTTATAGTGGAGATGTAAGACGGTCTGAACCGAGTTCCAGTTTGCCTAGGACCATTGACTTCTCGTCTAGATTTAACACAAAGCGCTTGCCACAAATTAACCTAGATACCTCGCAGATATCATCAAGAAGCATAAAGCATCATCACACAAATTCCGGTCATCCTCACAGCAGCAGCGGCTTTTGGCTAAATGTCTAACAAAGATGGTCAGGGCATCACGCGGTGCTTCCATTGTGCTTCTGCGGCCATCCGGAACGCCATAGGACCTATGCACTTTTAAATCATTAATTGAAAACTCATTTCTTTGGAACTGATTTTTCTGTTTAGTTTATTGTCCTTTCCCCGCACCTCCAAATAGCACAGTTGGCTATGTATGGTGCGAAATAAGTTCAACATAATACACATGTGCACGAGCTGGATGTGCTCTTATGCTGAATGGCAGTAAATCGGAATACTTACTGGATAATGTCATGAGTGGTAGAGAGAAACGTGTGTCCGTGTAGATGGCTACCCCTCCAGCGCTGACGGAGCGTGCGTTTGGAATGTACGTGTAGACGCGGAAACTGATCCTGAATGGTGGAAATGGACAAGGTGGAAGAACAACACGAGAATGGGGGCAGGAGTTTACACAACTGATGGGTGAGGAAATATGGATCCATGGGTGGTGTATACAAGAGGTCATACCTTCCCCATTGGCCTATTATAAGGCTTGTCATTGCAACTTTAAAACATGGCACTTGTAACCAGGCTAGATGCACTCTTTAGCAGCAGAGCAGTGTAGCAAATACTCTGAAAGAGCAAGATGGCGCCATTGATGGCAGCCTCGGCAAGTTGGTGCTACCTGTTTTGTCTTGTTTTGTCTGTTTATTCAGTGTTCTTCCAAAATTTTCGGAGTTCTCTAACAAGAGACGAACTTTTAAACATCAGGGAAACAACTCCTGTGGATTTATTTCCCACTTTTCTGCTTCCAGCGGCAGAATTAGTGGGCATTCTAGTCAAAGCCGCGCTAGGCTTTGTTCAAGCAACGAAACGCCACCGAAGGGGTAAATGGTCGGGGGCTCTAGTACGGCTACGCAGACGTGGGATCCGAACAGTGCTTCCAAGCTTTTTCCTCTCAAACGTACGTTCACTGCGCAACAAAATGGATGAACTTCAGCTACTGATGGTGAAAAACAGAGACTTTCTTGCATCTTCTGTCTTGTGCTTCACGGAGACATGGCTGTGTGATTTGATCCCGGATACTGCGTTACAACTGGCAGACTTCCAACTCGTAAGATCGGATCGGGACATAGCACTCTTCGGCAAGACAAGGGGCGGTGGTATTTGTTTTTACACTAACAGTGGCTTGTGTGTCGATGTAACAGTGATTCTGCAACATTGTTCTCCCGACCTGGAATCATTTTTATAAACTGTAAACCTTTTTACTTGCCTCGCGAGTTCGCGTCGCTCTTTTGGTCGGAGTTTATTTGCCGCCGGGTCCTCATGTTAAAGAGGCCCAACGCATGCTCGCCGACCAGATTCTGAGTGTGGAGCTAGAAAATCCGGATTCCCTGGTTATCGTACTCGGCGATTTTAACAAAGGTAATCTCAGCCATGAACTCCCCAAATACAGACAATTCATGAAATACCCTACCAGAGAAGGGAACACTCTGGATCACTGCTACACTACAGTCAGTAGAGCCTACCACGCCGTCCCCCGAGCAGCACTGGGACACTCTGACCATGCCATGGTCCACCTGATTCCTGCATACAGGCAGAAACTAAAGCTCTGTAAACCTGCTGTGAGGACATCTAAACAGTTGACCAGTGAGGCTACGGAGAATCTGCGGGTGGGCTTGGATTGTACTGACTGGGATATGTTCACGACTGCTACCAATAGCCTGGATGAACTCACAGAGGCTGTGACGTCGTACATCAGCTTCTGTGAGGACTGCTGTATTCCAACACGCACCAGGGTGTACTTTAACAACAACAAACCCTGGTTTTCAGTAAATCTCAGAAGGTTGAGGTTGGAGAAGGAGGAAGCGTTTAGGAGTGGGGATAGAGACAGATTCAAAGAGTCGAAGAACAGGTTTAGCAAGGCGGTGAGAGAGGCTAAACGACTGTATTCAAAAAGACTAAAACATCAGTTCTCTGCTAACGACTCTGCTTCTGTCTGGAGAGGGCTCAGGCAGATCACCAACTACAAGCCCAGAGCCCCCCACACCACTCACGACTCCCGCCTAGCCAACGACCTGAACGAGTTATACTCTAGATTTGAAAAACATTTGGACTGTCCTGAACTACCCCTTCCCACCCTAGAGGCCTCCTCCTCCCCCCCCCCCCCCCCACTACAGAAATGACTCTCTCAATTCAGGAGGGAAAGGTTAACAGACTTTTCAAGAGGCAGAACCCCCGCAAAGCAGCCGGGCCAGACTCTGTCTCTCCAGCGACCCTCAAGCACTGCGCTGACCAGCTGTCTCCGGTGTTCACCAACATCTTCAACACCTCACTGGACACATGCCATGTATCAGCCTGTCTCAAGTCCTCCACTATCATCCCTGTGCCCAAAAAGCCAAGGCTAACAGGACTTAAAGATTACAGACCTGTCGCCCTAACCTCTGTGTTAATGAAGTTTTTTGAGTGCCTGGTGCTGGCACATCTCAAAGCCATCACAGACCCTCTCCTGGACCCCCTGCAGTTTGCCTACAGAGCCAACAGATCTGTGGACGACGCAGTTAACATGGCCCTCCACTTCACCCTACAGCACCTGGACTCCCCAGCAACCTACGCCAGGATACTGTTTGTGGACTTCAGCTTTGCTTTCAATACCATCATCCCTTCCCTGCGTCAGGACAAGCTCTCCCAGCTAAACGTGCCCGACTCCACCTGCAGGTGGATCTCAGACTTCCTGTCTGACAGGAAGCAATGCGTTAGGCTAGGGACAGAAGTCTCTGACTCCCGGTCCATCAGCACCCGATCTCCTCAGGGCTGCGTCCTTTCCCCTTTGCTATTTTCCCTGTACACCAACAGCTGCACTTCCAGTCATCTGTCCATCAAACTCTTGACGTTTGCGGACGACACCACCCTCATTGGGCTCATCTCTGGTGGGGATGAGTCTGACTATAGGTGGGATGCTGACAACCTGGTGACCTGGTGTAGCCAGAACAACTTAGAGCTTAATGCTCTTAAGACAGTGGAGATGGTTGTGGACTTCAGGAAGAATACAGCCCAACTCCCATCACCCTGTGCGACTCCCCAGTCAACACTGTGGAGTCCTTCCGTTTCCTGGGCACTATCCTCTCCCAGGATCTCAAGTGGGAACTGAACATCAGCTCCCTCATAAAGAGAGCACAACAGAGGATGTACTTCCTACGGCAGCTGAATAAATTCGTCCCGCCAAAGACAATGATGGTGCACTTCTACACAGCCATTATTGAGTCCATCCTCACCTCCTCCATCACCATCTGGTACGCTGCTACCACTGCCAAGGACAAGAGCAGACTGCAGCATATCATCCGCACTACTGAGAAGGCGATTGGCTGCAATCTGCCTACCCTCGAGGACCTGTACACCTCGAGGACCCCTGAGGCGAGCGAGGAAGATTGTGGCCGATTCCTCCCACTCTGGACACTCTCTGTTCCAGCTACTCCCCTCCGGCGGAAGGCTGCGGTCCATTAGGACCAAAACCTCACGTCACAAAAACAGTTTCTTCCCATCTGTTGCTGGCCTCTTCAACAAGGCCAATGCTCAAAATGACTTTAACACTATATCTACACAATGACACCTTGCAATAGTTGCACTGTTACCCTATTGCATTTTTGTAATTTTATATTGCATATTATAGCTATTGTATATTTTGTATTTTATTTTATTCATATTTTTACATACTTTAGCTCCTTAGTATTAGTTAGACTTTGTACCTTTAGTATAGTTAGACTTGTACACCACTTATTTAAGATTTAGGATTCCTATATGTTGAATGCATGCACCTTCCTGCCAAAGTAAATTCCTTGTCTGTGCGAACTTTCATTGCGACTAAAACCCTTTCTGATTCTGATAGGCAGCTGTCAGATCGAGAGAAACTGCATCGGTTTAACGTCTCCAATTTACAAATGTGTTCTACGTAGGTCTTGTCAATACTCCTCGCATTGTGAGCACGTGATGCCACCTTTCTTTCAAAAACATCGCGTAAACATTTATGGGGTTTTAATTCGTTGAAATAAGCTCACGGAAAAATGCACGCGGGCAGGGAACATACCTGTAGGCAGTGTTTTGCTTTAAGGGGCCATTGGGGAAGCTTCCACTCGTTCTGCCAGTGCCAATTTGGACACTGACGATGGAGTTGAGGTTGGAGCACTCGGAGGGGTAGACACGATCGTCCACCTGGTACACGTTCGTGCTGCCACTCGCATATTCTGAATACGTGCTCAGAGGCCACCTCTTCTCTGGACTCTCGCTGTTGGTTCCTGTGTGATCGGACAGAGTGAATCCATCCATCGGTGGATTCCTTTTTTACATGCATTCGTAAAAAGTTGCACGTAAAGTTTCCAAAATTAATCCTCAAAGGAATACTCCTTAAACGTGGATCTAAATTGCACGTGAAAATTTGCACTTTACATTCTAAATATGTATATACTACGGTTTTCGTTACCGTAACAATTTCAACTTGAAGATGGAGAATGGATTTCAATTTAAAGCTTTCGTGACTGCAGGGATTCATCTTCTTGGTTCTTTCGGTAAAGTCACGTACAGTAGAATGGAAATAATAAAATAATAAAAATTCAACATAATAAAAATATTCTCACGACGTTACAGCCACAACGCAAGCAGCCGTCCTCAGGTGAAGAACAGGTCTGTCGAGAAGACAGACTCTGTCTTCTCGACAGACCTCATAGAGGTGCAAGGAGGAAGCACAGGCAAGACGGAAATGCAGTAGCAGCCAGGAAGTCAGCTGGCATCAAATTCAGACCTCGACTCCCCTCCTCTACCATCCCAGGTTAGCTCTACAGTCCTCTGATTATGAAGGTTTAATCGGTCAATTAATGAGTGTTTACATCCAGGAGGAAACAAGTACCCAGAGAAAACCTACGTAGGGCAAGACCATTCTATATGGCCAGCGAGGGTACGGGACCACGACGTTAATGGGTTGGGTGATTCACCAACACTCGCCTCCACTGTTGTGGATTAGACATGCAAAGCTACCAAGGCTTGGATAAAAAATAAAATTGTGGAAGAATCAGATATTGATGCCGCTACTTCTCGTATACTTAGCAAGCACTCGAATGTTTCATCTCATTCCCCCTGGTAATAAAGTTAACAATCATTTTAGTCGTGCATGAATGAAGTGACCGAGCCGTTTTCATGGCATGTCCATTGCGTTACCATCGGACTGTTTGACGATGACCGTGTAGTACTTGAGGTCACCGTTTGTGTTCTGGAACCAGCTGCAGCTGAAGGAGACGGTTAGGCTGTTCGGTGTCACCTGGTTCTGCACCGTCGTGATGTTCACCGTCTCCGGAACGGGTGGAGGAGCTACCCACATGAGCATGACAGTTTTGGAAATGAGCATAGGTACACAGACTGTCGTAACTTAGAGCTATTTGTTAATCCACTACTGGACGAAGGCATAGACATTGCTTGATCATACTTTCCCATGCTGGTCAGTGTGGGATAACGAAGCAGGGGCTGGAGGAGCTAGCAACAGTTCAGATACTGATATTTACCATAGTCAGCAAATGCATGGGGGGGGGGGGGGGATAGCGCAGCACCCTCAATACGGTGACCACTGCTCCAACGTAACAAGTGAGGCTTAAACAAAAATCCATCGTAGCCGTTTTTGAACAGCCAGTCGTCAGGGCAAGTGCTATTAATGAGCAGCCATTTAAATGATAGCACCGCTCACAAGGGAGTTGATAAGGCCACTCCCAGAACTGGCCACCTTTATCCCTCTGCAGTGCGGTACGTAAGGTGAACTTCTTTTGTACCGTACGTAGCCAATCATGCTAAATCGGAGGTGCAGAAAAAAGACAAATTCTGATGTTTAAACACTTAACCAGGTCGTCATTTGAGGTACAGTTGAGTAAAGCAAGGCCCAAACCTCAACTTAAGTTGTTGGGTGTGCACGATGACAACTTTGAACTGTTTATAAAAAAAATACCATGCACAACACGATTGTTACTGGCATGTCAGAAAGTTAGGAAACGGTTAAGAATTTTAAATGACTGATACAGGTTGGTATGGGTGGATGGGTGCTTGGACATGAATCCCCTGCTACCAGAACAGACACCCGATTGTCTCCAAAATGCATTGCACACATTTATGATTGATTTGTTCACACATTTGGTACAAAACTCAACAATCACAACCAATCATGTGCCAATCAAAATGTATGAACTCACCGCTTACGTCGGTCCGTGCTTTTCCTTGTAGAGTTTGACTGTGCACATATTCCTGAGAAAGTAGTGATATTGACTAAGTATTCAGTATTCGGCTTCAGACGTCCAAGCATAGCAAATGTTAAATTAGTTCTTCCATTTCCCTGAGGCTCCGTAATTGTTTCATTCAAAGAATACTTTGTAATGACTGTGAAATTGTCATTGAAGACGCCTACGATCTGCAATGGTTTACTGCCGTTGATCACTTGCAGGTACAGCAAGCTCCATACACCGTCGGGGAGAGACCAACTGCAGGATATATTCTCCGAGGAATACGTGAAGCAAGAAAAGTCTCTGACAGATGCTGGATCTGGGGGAGGGGGAAAAGTTGGTGAATGGGGTAGTTAGGGGGGAGGGGATGCAGGATTGGTGAAGATGTAACTCATTGCTGATATTACCAATGACTATTAATCAAACCCATTTAATTCAAACACAGTGGCACAAAAAACTGACACTTGCAGGGTCTCAGTTATGAGCATGTGCGTGCATGTGAGACACGGTTGGTGCCTAAAATTGTCGACTCCATTGGCAATACGGGCGTGCCAACATTGGGCCCGATTCCCCTCGGTGTGCGTGCTTACCAGTCCACCTCTGCTCTGGGTCTTCTGGTTTTTCCCTCCAGATTTAAAAGTCATGAGTTTAGAGTATTTGGCTGCTATAAATTTCCACATGATGATAAGCCACTTCGTTTTTGCTATCATTTATGATCGCCAGGCCGCTTCTGAAAAGAGCTACATAGCTCAGTGGGCCTTACCTGGTACAATAAAACTAGTTTATCGTTGTGCGTGCTGAGGTTACATCCCTGTATGATGATAGATAACCGGGCCTTTTCTCGTGTGGCCCCCTGGCTGTGAGTTCACATCCCCTGGTCGTTCACGATGCTGACTCCCTAGCTTTATTTATATCGTGCCTTAAAACGCACGTATTTTAAAGAAAAATATATATTTCGATTAAAGCTTTCGTGACTGCAGGGATTCATCTTCTTGGTTCTTTCGGTAAAGTCACGTAGAAGGGAAGTAATAAAATAATAAAAAATAAATAAAATTAAAACATAATAAAATAATTCTCACGACGTTTCGGCCACAACGCAAGCAGCCGTCCTCAGTTGAAAACCAGGTCTGTCGAGGCGACAGCGTCTTGGAGTCGCGGCATCTCTTCAGAAAGGTGAGAGACTCGATTAGCTGAGCCTTCTTATCCCGGAGCTTGTTGAAGGATCTCAAAGTTATGTGGAAACCCTCCGCCTAGAGGCAGTTAAATTTAGATTTAAAGCTTTCGTGAATGCAGGGATTCATCTTCTTAGTTCTTTCGGTAAAGTCACGTAGAAGGGCAGTAATAAAATAATAAAAAATAAATAAAAATAAAACAAAATAAAATAATTCTCACGACGTTTCGGCCACAACGCAAGCAGCCGTCCTCAGGTGAAAACCAGGTCTGTCGAGGCGACAGCGTCTTAGAGTCGCGGCATCTCTTCAGAAAGGTGAGAGACTCGATTAGCTGAGCCTTCTTATCCCGGAGCTTGTTGAAGGATCTCAAAGTTATGTGGAAACCCTCCCCGGAGAGGCGGACTGCAGTCACGAAAGCTTTAAATCGAAATTTAACCGCCTCTACGGGGAGGGTTTCCACATAACTTTGAGATCCTTCAACAAGCATCGGGATAAGAAGGCTCAGCTAATCGAGTCTCTCACCTTTCTGAAGAGATGCTGCGACTCTAAGACGCTGTCGCCTCGACAGACCTGGTTTTCACCTGAGGACGGCTGCTTGCATTGTGGCCGAAACGTCATGAGAATTATTTTATTATGTTTTATTTTTATTAATTTTTTATTATTTTATTACTTCCCTTCTACGTGACTTTACCGAAAGAACCAAGAAGATGAATCCCTACAGTCACGAAAGCTTTAAATCGAAATTTAACCGCCTCTACGGGGAGGGTTTCCACGTAACTTTGAGATCCTTCAACAAGCTCCGGGATAAGAAGGCTCAGCTAATCGAGTCTCTCACCTTTCTGAAGAGATTCCGCGACTCTAAGACGCTTTCGCCTCGACAGACCTGGTTTTCACCTGAGGACGGCTGCTTGCGTTGTGGCCTAAACGTCATGAGAATTATTTTATTATGTTTATTTTTATTATTTTTTTATTATTTTATTACTTCCCTTCTACGTGACTTTACCGAAAGAACCAAGAAGAAAATTATATTCCTTGAATCTTTTAGTTTGAGATTGGATTTTGTTGGGTTGAGCCTGCACGTGTGTGTGTTTTGTACAGCCCCTTCTGACCTCCAGGTGCAAGGCGCCTTAGCAGTGTAAATAAATATCAAATTATTACGGGGATCAAAATTACGTCTGCCTACTTTAAATCACCTAGAATTACATCCTTCCACATGTTTTTGGCCTGCCTATACCAAAAGAGAATAGTGGCCTGTCAACAAGACCAATGTGAATCGTGTATGTGTATTTTAAATGCAGGGGCAATGGCAGCACTACATGGTGGTAAAACGTTTTCAATACCAAATTAAGTAATACCACGTGTATTATACACAATGCTCTTGTGATATATAGTAGCATACACACATTACTGTCTAAATTAAAATAGTCCGATCAACAGATTGTATAGGTACTTACAAGTTATGTCCATGACCACATTTGACCAATATGAGAAGTACCCATTGGTAGCCTCCACAGATACGGAGTAGTTCATTCCAGGAACCAGGCCAGTAAATGTTGTCAAGTTTGAGTAAATCTGGAATGTTGTAACCAAGTTTCCACTCTCAGTCTCTCTCAAGTAGGCCCAGTAGGAGAACGAGTCTAGGAGATAGGTCGTTCCTGAGACTGTCATGGTCGTGGTAGTCTTGCTGGTGATGGTTAAAACGATGTCACTTGACACTGAAATGGCCAAATGCAAGCAAGACATTTTAATAGCATGTTTTAGTTACTTTACAATGGTTGAAGCGAATAATGAGAAATACCAATTGCAAACAATGGCAGCAATCATGTGGTGGTGAAACGTTTTGAATACTAATGTAATAACGTTAATATACGCAATGCACTTGTGATATATAGTAGCATACACAAATTACTGTCTATATTAATATAGTCTGAACAGTTGACCACAACGGTACTTACAAGTTATGTCCATTACCACATCTGACCAATATGAGACAGACCCATCAGAAGCCTGCACAGACACAGAGTAGTTCCTTCCAGGAACCAGGTCAGTAAATGTTGTCCCGTTTGAGTAAATTTGGAATGTTGTAACCAAGTTTCCACTCGCAGTTTCTCTCAAGTAGGCCCAGTAGGAGTACGAGTCTGGGAGATACGTCGTTACTGAGACTGTCATAGTCGTGGTAGTCTTGCTGGTGATGGTTAAAACGATGTCACTTGACACTGAAATGGCCACATGCAAGCAAGACATTTTAATAGCATGTTTTAGTTATTTTACAATGGTTGAAGCGAATAATGAGAAATACCAATTGCAAACAATGGCAGCAACATGTGGTGGTGAACCGTTTTGAATACTAAAGTAATGCAACGTTTAATATACGCAATGCACTTGTGATATATAGTAGCATACACAAATTACTGTCTATATTAATATAGTCTGAACAGTTGACCACAACGGTACTTACAAGTTATGTCCATTACTACATCTGACCAATATGAGGCAGACCCATCAGAAGCCTCCACAGACACGGAGTAGTTCATTCCAGGAACCAGGTCAGTAAATGTTGTCACGTTTGAGTAAATTTCGAATGTTGTAACCAACTTTCCACTCGCAGTTTCTCTCAAGTAGGCCCAGTAGGAGAACGAGTCTTGGAGATACGTCGTTACTGAGACTGTCATGGTCGTGGTAGTCTTGCTGGTGATGGTTAAAACGATGTAACTTGACACTGAAATGGCCACATGCAAGCAAACCATTTGAATGGCATGTTTGAGTTATTTTGCAATGATTAAAGCAA